CGTTGTGGCTGGCTGCTGTGCAGATTATTAACTCGCGGGGATGGCTGTTATGTGGCCTTTTGCATTTGCTTTCTGCAGGGGCATCTCGCACTGCGGCAGCTCTTTAAAAACCCATTTAAGCTTACAAGCTTGTTAAGCTTGCCCCAAATCCACGCAGGCAGAAGCCTCAACCAGTTGAACAGTTGTGCTCTGCTCCTCGTGTATCTGTTGCTGCTTCTGCTGCTGCTGTTGGTTCATTTCTCCATTGGGGGCATGCCGTTTAATGCAATTTCACGTCGCTTTTTATCGCCGCCTAAGTAGCCACTAAACGGCAGCTCTTTAATCTCAACGACTTGGCGCGTTTGCCCCAAAAAACAAAAAAAAAAACAAAAACCAAACGAAGACCAAGCAGTAGCTTCACTTTGAGTTCAAGAAATTAACTTTCTTTGAGGTTCAGGTCCAGGCTCAGGCCTCGCCCACCTTGTTAAGCGTTAAGGACACACCAGGAAAACAGGTCCTAACGAGGCGCACACTCTGCCACAGATCGATCGCAGCCCATCGATCCATTCCCATGCCATTGGATTTATTTTTAGTTAACGCTAAATTGCATCCATGGCCTGCGCCCTGCCTTGGTTTCCCGGATTAAATGCATCATCAGATCTCTCGCGTACGCTACCAGAATCACGATTAAGAATATTTCAATTAGTTCAGTTATGATGCTCCTTGGCACCGCATCCATCGATCCACGATGTATTGCCTTTTAAGGCAGCCAAATGTTGGCCTTCCGAAACTTTCCAAGTAGAAAGAAAGTTTTTTTTTTCTGCCATCAAGCCATATATTCCTTTTGCATCGTTTTCTTTTGGCAGAGTTTTTGCATTTTTGATTGATTCGATTTCGTGAAGCATCTTTAGGATACACTTTGTGGCATGCTAATTAAGTCACTTGACCGACCAGAGGGATGGCAATTGAGATTGGATAGTAGTCCGGCATTCGTCGGGTAGTCTCTCGGGCGTATTATTGCCGTAACCAGACTCGATTAAGTGGGCCGAGCAGTAAGCTTTGGCCCCAGACTTTGATCTTGTTAAGCGGATTTAATTGATTAACTTTCCATTTAATCAGCATCCTGTTTGATGGCCCCTCAATGTCCTTCGGGGTATTGGGGCCTCTGGGCTCTGTACTCTGTACTCCTGGGATGGCTACTGTTGATGATGATTGCCATGGGAGTTACGGAGACATGCATAGGTACAGCAGTATCTGTCGTATCTGTCCCCGCTGATGATGCAAAATTATGCCATAAATGCCAAGGTAAGACGATCCACTTTCAACGCGCTTCGATGCTGCTCATCTCGTAATATCCGCTGGATTCCAGCTACCAGGCTTTGTATGTATGTATGTGCATATATATCATAATCCACAGCACAGGCAATCAAGCCATCAAAAAAAATGACTGCCACAAAAATATCGGTGCATCCGAAAACACTTTCATTAAACTAAATTTTTATTGTGGCACCACCACCACCACCACCACCAGCAAGATCTGGGTGCGCAGAGAGCGGGGCCATGGGATCGACGTCATTTTCATTTATGGCCCGATTCCAAGCGATTCCAAAAGTCCGACTATAAAACTTTGACCCAGTTTTACCTCTTGTTGTTATCAAAACGTACGCACTGGGCACAGCAGCGCGCTGTGGCAGTTGCAAGCTGGCTTTCAAGCTTCACAAAATTGCTACAAATTACACATTTTTCGGGGCGCAAAAGTGTGCCGCATGCGTGACAGGGGCTGTGACTGTGGCTGTTCGACCCAGGACTTTTCCCCCAACAACTTTGCAATTAAGTCGGTCCGATGTGGCAGATTAAAGTAAATAATATCTGATGGTACACATACGCGTAGTTGTTGCTCCTCTTCCCCATCCCCTTCCACTGCTCTTTACAATAACTCATAAACTGTAATCACTTAGGGCGCATGGTGGCGGGCAGCAGGCTGCAGGCAGCAGGCCTCAAAACTAGTTATCCTTATCGATGTAGGCCCCAGCCGAAGCTCGCAACGAACTGGAGCGAATCGAATCGAATCTAAACGAAACGAAACGAAACGAAACGAGAGGCGAATCCAATGCGAGACGCTCTTTATCGCGGTTATCCCATTGATTTATCTCTCACTTATGGGGCCACACTTCCATAATAAACAATTTTATAATTGCCACATTGATTGAATTGATCGAAAGTGGCATTCCTTTTACATCGATAATGTGTGTGCTTTTGCATAGGTTTTGTCTTGTGCAATCGATCAATAAGTGAAATATCCATGGGAAAACATCGCATCTTCAGAGATTATATTTTGCAGAATAATATAATTTAATCATATCAAACAACTACAATTGTTGATCACGAACAGTATCGAGTTCTTAATTAAGAAATCTCTCCGAAATTGATGAGATGAATCTCTCTTTTTGTAGTTTTTTTGTCGTTTTGAGAGATCATTCTGGGTACAATACAATCCAACTCCAGCAACATGCTCTCTGTATGTTGTACCATGTCCACCCAAACGAAGCGATCATTAATGCTCCACAATCGCAACAATGATTAAGTATCTTTTTGCCGATAATGGCTTTGGCTTCGATATGCAAAAACGTTGATAAAATTCAATTGGGATAATCGACGCTTATCAACGCGTTGAGAACCGTTAAACTCACGCAGCCTCGCAATGCAAAACAAAAACCGAACAGAAGGAGACACGCAAAAAAAGTACAAGTGTTAAACAGGAACCGAAGATTAAATACCCCTGTGGCGGAAACATCATTTGCTCCATCAAACGATGTAAGAACTATTGTCATTTGACAGTTAACTTTGATCAGTTCACTTGTTTTCAAAATTATTAAGGAAGATGCATTTTCATTTGCGTGCATACAGCAAAAATGGGCAAGGTATAAAACTCTCCTCTGCAAGGGTATCAAAACAGCGACAACGTCAAACAGAGATTATGCAGGTAAGGAACGCAATGCAGACGCGTACGCTGACTGAGACGCAGACGAAGACGAACGATTTGCGATAAAATATATTAAGATAAATGCACAAAAAATAAAAGAAATGAGAAGAAAAGAAAGAACAAGAAATAGTTGCAAAACTTATTTACATTTAATTTGCATATTTTGAAACACTCGCACACACGCACGTGGCTGTTGGGTTTGCGGAGCTGCCAATAAATGGTATAACCTTACGGTAGAAGGGCAGAAATTTATGGTTCAAGCAAAACGGAGCACACCAGCAGAAAAATAATCGCAGTAAAGCAAATGCAATTTATAGGCGACCTGGAGATGAGACCTACTCGTCATAAATTGGATTGTTGATGAAGCCCAAAAGATTCCATTAACATATGTAGCTTTCGCTTAGATCCGAATAACAGAAAATATGTTTCGTGCATAACGCAAGCAATCAAAGAAAAACGAAGTAACATTTTCGCGTGGCTGTATATTTCGACAGAGCACTGAACATAACAGAACAGAGCAGGATAGCAACAGTATGCCGATGTGCGAAGCGACAAAGCCGTTATCAAAGATTATTTCTTATATCTACCAGTGCACACACGCGCACTCAACTTTCTGTGTGTGTCTCAGCAAGCGTGCTTGTGTTTGTGAGCACCATGCGGCTTTTTGAGCTTCTTCGTTCGTTTTTGGCGGAGGGTGGGGTTGGATTGGTACCTTATCGATGTTGTCGAGCGCGAACGTTTATGTACCCTTACGCTGCAGCTATACTGACATTCTAATGGGATGTTTGTAGCGCAGAGAAAAAAGTGTTTGATTGCTGTACTGAGTACTTAAAAGTCGAGAATTGATCCCGAATTAATTTTGCTTGCATAAAAAATAAACTGTTAATAAGTGAATGCATATCATATGGAAGCGTTGGATCTGCAAGGGTATCGTTGGCTTCGGGTCTGCAGTCCTCGATGTGTCCTTTATGTGGCTGTTTGAAATGCGTATTGATAATCATTAGTTAAGTTGTTAACTGATTTCGTTTAGAGATTTGTCAGCAGACAACTTGTTAAGGTGTTCCCCCCATACAACCCTCTGAACCCCTCGGACAGGCATTGTGAAATATTTGAATGTGATTTATCTGAGCGGCTAACAACCGATACACGGCCAGCAACAGCAACAGCAACAACAACATCAACAACTACAAGTTGGCCATAAATCAAGGCGAGCTTTTGCGGCTAATGAGACAGATTGCTTTCGACGTGGCCCGAGACAGAGATGAGGACCCCTTCCCGGCCAGCCTCCGAGTCTCATCTCAAAGAGCCTGGGGTCAAATTCTGGTGGTCCCAGAGATCTGAGCGTTGGATTCCAGCCATCGATGCCCTGGGCTCAATTACATCAAATGATATTTTATTGGTATTTGATGAGCGTCGAGAGTTGATGCAATTGCTTGATCAATAAATTTAACCCCGAAGTGGAGTAACCCGGACTCATTAGTCAGTGATCCTGAACCTGAATTCGTAAGGAGCTGGGCCACCAACCAAGCAGATCTCGAACCGAACCCGTGTGGGAGCCGACCGGGTCCTAATCCCCAGCTAAAGCACAAAAAATAACATCACATAAATAATGCGCTCATTGAGTTCCACTTTACCTCACTTCAGCTTCAGTTTGAGATCAGTTCCAATTTCTGTTCTCTCTGGGCTCTGTCTTCCGTTTCTTTTTCACAATAAATCACGAGGTCCAATTAGGCGCGCTCAATTTGCGATCGCTGATCCCCGGAGGAGCTGAAAAAACATTCCAACAAAAAGCCATAGGGCCCTCCGCAACTCAATTAGGTTGGGGGCCGCTCTTAAACGTTCCCACTCCAGAGTGGGATTTGTAAGTAGAATTGACATTATGTGTACATGTGTACATAATATGTACAGAAATGTATTTTATATGGTTTCGTATCGTTTATTTACATGGAGAGTGGGGACAAAAAAAAAAAAATTAATAAATACAGCGATGGGCTACTGATATTCATGTTATCTACAATAAATGACTAATGTGCCACCAATCGATCTACTTTGGGTTATGATTCACTGCCTGGAATATGCTCGTAAGAATTTAATTATTAAATTTAAGGTTTAGTTTTGCAGGTTAAACAGCTTCCACAGTCCAAAAAGAGCTACCAGGCAGCAGATCTTCCATATATCTGCTCCCAGAACACTCCCGGAGTTCATGGAGGCAAAACCCAAGCGATTGTTGCCCAAATCGAACTCCGTGTAGTACCGGCCAATGAAGATATCGCCCAGAATCCAGAAATCAGAGCCCTGTATGTACTGTATGCCCAGGGTGCATGAACCATCCGATGACACGATGTACGCACTGGGCGGGATCTGGAAGGGTACACCGCTGATGGTGAATGTCAGGGTGGGCAGATCTGCAATGTCTGCGCACTTAATGCGCTGATTGAGCATCGTAAGGATCTTCTCATAGATGGCGTACGGAGCAATGAGCAGTGAGGTGCCCGTATCGGCCACTGCCTGGCAGTACGTGCACAAGGTAGTGCCGCCCAGGGCGACGCCATCCACCTGGAACTGCCAGTAGGTCTGGCTGGAGACGGGCGCATAGACTAATTTGCCTGCATAGAGCGATGCGTCTGAGCCGCCCAAGATGAGCTCTCCACCGTAGCTGACCTCTGAGGTGCCGTTGTTGGCTAGGTAGAAGGAGAACACCGGCGCGTCCACCAGCTTCTGGCTCCACATATTGTAGAAGGGCGGTTGAACCCCGTCCACGGCCAAGCTGGAGTAGGCCATGCCTAAGATGCCATCGAACGAGGCGCCCATCATGCTAGTGCCGGTCTCAGTGGTGGCCTCACCGAATGTTTGTCCGACAATTTTCAGCCCAGCCACTGTCACCACATCCGTGGAGAGGGTCCCCGCCACACTGCCCGAGCCATAGGTAATGGAGAAGGCGCTCCCATTGGCCTGATATGTCGTGGAAGCCGCGGAGCTATACTTTGTGTGATATAAGCAATCGATGCTCAGGCAATTCACGCTGGGAATCCACAGATTGGAGGATCCAGTGTCGAACTGCACCAGGAAATACTGCGGTGGAGTTCCGATGCCGATGTTGCCAAAGTACTGAAAATTCAACACGTTCGACAGGGTCTCCACGGTGTAGTTTCCAGCGGTGGTGGTGTTACTGCTGCTGCTGCTGCTGGTGTTACTGCTGACATTGCTCTGCAAAAGGTTGTATTTCCTCCACACATGTTCCCGTTCGGCTATGAGGCTCTGTTGGGTACGCACATACTTCCCAGAGCGGTGAACGGGTATCCGGTGCAGGGCGGCGCACGCTCCGGCCACTAGGCCCACAAGAGTCAACAAGGCCAACGCCTTGACTTGGGTGCTGCTGCTGCTGCTGGTCATGTCGCTTTCCCGGTTGAATTCAACTAACTGTTGGCGGCACTATCTGTCTGGGCCTTTATACGGCGCCCCACAAATCTCCTTCAGATAACAATTTTTCGTTTATATCTATTATTCAATTATTTCTTCCATTCCTTATTTCTTTTGATCTTCTATCGATCATTTTGGTAGATATGAATATCGGGTTCATGTAACGACAGTGCTGAGCCAGTTACAGTGCGTTTCATGACTCTAGAGTACGCTGCAAAGAGCATGTAACAAGAACATTTAATTTAATATTTTTGTATGGCATTTAGAACATTATCTGCATGCCAATTTGCCAAGGACCTTCAACTAATTCAATTGTAATTGTTGGAACATTTATTAGGAGTCTAATGCTGCCGATCCACAGTGTAGTAGGAACTTACTTACCGTCAACTTTCCTATCAGAATTAGTTTTCAGCCACTGATAATTTTTCAGATAAAAAAGGAAGTCCTACCAATTTTATATTAATCACCCAATTATATTCGAGGCATAGATACACATGTATGAGTTAATGTTCACATGTATTAAATGGAATTAGATAGCTGGGATTATTGATGGCGGTGTGGGGAACCACACAATGGAGCACTCGAAAGGTAACCAAGAGAGTTCGATTATCAAATGGAACCGAAAAAATGTCTCATACCTCATTTAGTAAAGTTTAAAGAGTTCGAAATCGTCTTCCACTTGAATAGAGTTACCTTTGTTAAAGAAAAGTCTCATTCATATTTCGAGTTATATTCATATGGTAATCACTTCCTGTCCGCATGGAAGCTGGATGAAATGTTAATTAACCTGCGCTGTCCACTGCTAATGGAGATGTCAGGCTGGAAGACAAGGAGCCTGGACATCCTTACAATGTGTGTGAGAATATTTATGGATGGATGGTGAGGGAGGACCCAGGCCAGAGCCAGAGCCAGAGCCAGAGTCAGACCCAGACCCACCAAGATGATGCATGAATGAAAGCGAACCGGCCACAAAGAGTTATTGTGTTTAATGTATGCACAGAGCGATTGTCCTGCGCCAGGAAAGGTCAAAGGACACAGGGCACAGCGCTCACAGGAGGGGAGAGAGGTGCGCAGTAGGTAGTAGCTGAAGGTTGTAGTTGTAGGTGTTACCCACTTGATTCGGCATGACCTAATGTTGCACTACACACAATGGGCCATGATGAGGCTGCTTTGTCGCCCGTGCGGCAGTGTCAACTTGGATTCGCTGCGCTACCAGCAAGAGAGGATCCATCCTCGGTGTGTGGGTGGGTGAGAATGCGCGCTCAAGTCAAACGAATTGAAAATTTATCACCCGAAGCGAACCGATACCGACGAGTCCAACGTCGATGATGACTTTGTATGCCAAAGCAAATGAATTTTTTACACATTTTAGTCGGTTGGCGTGCAGCGTACGGAAAAGCATTGAACCATTCGCAAATTGATTTCGCTCTGCCCCGGAATGTCACACGAACAATGATCCTTCCAACACTCTGTCATACGCCGACGGTACCTCCCTGTGCTGCGATCTATCCAATTTCAAAGGAGATTCACACGCAAAAGCCGCCCCGCCAGGAAGCTCCTTGGAGTCATTGGCCCGCTGCGGCTGGAGCTGTTGTTGGAGCTGTTGCTGGAGTTTGGGACCAGTCCGAGATATATATCTGGGTATGCTATATGGCCTCGGCCCTGGGGCGCTGCGTTTTAACTTCAATTTCATTTCGCGCTGATCGATTTTTGCACGCAAAGTGTGAGGGAGTCGAGGCAGCAGAATCTCGAACCGAATCGAACCGAACCGAACCAAGCTGAGCCGAAACTAAGCGTATCCGTATGCCCCACCGAATCCCCATCCAAATCCACAACAGAAACCACAAAATATGGCTCAGTACTTAGGCATTGAATTTATTGTTCATTCCGATCAATATTTTATTGTTTTCTCCATACTTCTGCACCTCCTTGGCTGGGGTTCTCTGTCTCTCCACCTCTGCCTCACTTCAATTGTGGTGTCTTTGGTGGTGTCGGTGGTGGTGGTGCTGGTGCGTTATCAGCTCAGCTTGAGAGATCGAAGGTGCAGCTTCAAAGCGCCGTCGGCTACCGAGGCAGGGACAGTGGCAGGGGGGAATTCTCATATCGGTTTCAGTTCTGTTCTTCGGTTTTTTTTTGTTTTGGTTTTTTTCGGCCACATGCAAAACAATAATCGATGCCGGTGCTGGGTTCCATTTAAAAACGTGTTAAAGAGGCACAGGCGGAGCACATACGGGGGAGAAGGCTGCAGGCAGCGGCAGCGGCAGCTTGCAACTTGGTCTTGCAACGCCCACACTGCACCGCCCTGGCTTATTTGATTTTGGACGCATTCATTCCGCTCCCAGCGGCACTTGATCCAGCATACCCAATACTCATACCCCAGTGCCGCATTGGATTTATGATGTGATTTCGATCATTTGACATAATCTATTTAGCGTCTGCTCGTGCTCCTCCACCCAGGCAACCAGATCTCCGCCAGCTTCAGCTTCAGCTTCAGCTTCACATTTCTCCCTTTGTACTCCTCCTCCTCCTCCTGCTCTCTTCTGCCACTCTGGGTTTGAGGGCATAATTTGTAATGAGATAATTTTATTTGCTTTTCCCCAATGACTTGTGTGTATGGAGATGGAGCCCAGCTGATATTCCTCTGGCACTGGCACTGGCACTGGCACTGGTCCTGTGCGTTGAGGCTCAAATATTCATGGGCTGCCTGTGCACAGCGATCATCATCCAATCAGGAATATATATTTACACAAAAGAGTGTCATGTCAGGCCCCAGTTTACTTGGGGACTAGCTATGTCAGCCCATCGCTGGAAGCATGTTTTAGATCATATTTTTAATGTATTAAATTTTTAGCTAATTAATGGAAAGTTTCTTCTGCCTCTTCAAATACTTCAAGAGTTAAGACAAAGGACACACACATAGATTCTCAGCTCAAAAATAAAAAACTATTTTAGTATTTTTGGAGGTCCTTTATGGTCATAATTTTCGTCTGTGCGCCTTCACTTAGCTCATTCTTGTGACTCATCAGACCATAATTCAATCTATCTGAAAATGTGAAATTTGTTTTTCCTAACAGGGGACACAAACACACACACACAGACACACAAGTAAGCAATAACTTTGGTTCGAGGTGATGCTATCGCGGACTGTGACTGCGACTATAATGGAACTTGGCTTCTGGAGATGATGCTGCGGCGACCTGTCCACAACCAGCTAACAAGCAATCTTTTATGAGCATAACTAATGTGTAATCGGTTTACGACTTTCACCTACCGCAGTATCAACGCTAACCCTTGAGGCGAATGTGGCGAGCCAATTGGAAGGGGTATCAGCACTAGGTACTAATTGATCCCGCAGGACAGTAGCCAAAAAAAAAACAGAAAAAAGGGACACGCGCGCACTGACTCTCTCTCTCTCTCTTCCATTTACTTTCCTCCATTTCGTACAACGATGTGTATCAGTGGAGAGGTCTACTAATTAAGGTCCAAGGATCTGGACCCACCGCACACACACTCCAGCCAGGTCCTGCCTTCCCCCACTCTCTGCCCGTTTAGCCTTTTGCGTTGCTCGTAATTCCAAATTAAATGTTTCTCCACTTTTTCAACTGTTTCGATCTGTGTAACCTAATGAAATGCTGCCCTGAACTGCCTCAAACTGAACTGGACTGCTTGATGGTCTTTGGCTCATTCGCTGATCGCAGTATCCCTCCCGGCTGCAACTGCGGCGCCTCCAATGTGGGTCAGCAGCCGCGTGGATCCTGGGAGCCCGCTTAATGCCAGTGCTGATAGTTACTAATTGTTTGTTATTAGCGTATCCATACGGTTCTGTAACTGTTTCGGGGCTGAACTTCTTTTTTCCCGTCCTTCCCTTTTGTTTTGTGATCTTTTTCGTTTGGTTGCGGGATTATGCTACGTTTTCTCATTGATTGTAATCAAGACAGAGCCAGTGCCAGTGCCAGTCAGTGCCACGGTTTAAGCCAAGACCAGACCCAGAACAGCGTTGATCGATAGCCATCGCTGCTCCAGTTGATGGTCTCGATCTTGATGGCCAACTCGTTTCGCAATTTTTGTGTAGTTTTTTGTTGTATTTTTCCCTCTACACTTTCAAGGAGTACTTTGGGCAACGCACATAAAGAAGTATTTTCGATTCTTTACAGTCTATGCTGCATATTTTACTGAATTCCCTTTTTCTTTTTGTACATTTATTTACAGGGAAAGTACCACGATCGATCTCTGATTTAATTTAATTAAACTTGTAGGAAGAATTGGACGCTTCTTAAATTTAAAAATACTAAAGCTTCAATTGATTAAAGCCTTAAACTTCCATACAAAAGTATGAACTGTTTGCCAGGTTTCTATTAAAACTAATCCCAGAAACACCAACAAACCAAATGCTTCCGGAAAAACAAATAAAACCAAAAACCAATACAATTTTTGCTGCAACTTCCATAAAAACCATAAGCCAAAAGGGTATCCAAGCCATCGGTAGTTCCTCTTCGCTCTCTCATTGTGGTTTTATTTTCCTGCGTATTTTTCTCATTTCGTTTTCGTTTTTATTTTGCCTTTTCTTTTTGCATAAAACGCTCCTCATTTGCTTTACATGCCAGCGAATTGAGTTTATTTTTTAAACAGAGCCTTCGGAGTGCTCCTCCATTGATGATGATGATGATGATGATGATGCTCCTGTTGTCGAGCTGCCGAGAGACCACCCAAGTAGTCAGTCACTCAGCCAGTCAATATTTGCCACCAAGGTTGGTCTCCACCGGCCAGTGTCCACTGCCCCACCGCCCTCCTCTTTGTGTCTTTTGAATCTGGCTGCTGGGTGTAACGCAACTTTTTGCATTCATTTTTGGGGCTGCAAATTAGAAAAATGTTGCACGAAAATCAATAAAAGCTAATGGATGACCAAATTGAAAACCGAGCACACCGCTGGGCTAGGGCTGCCTGAGGGTCTCCTCCCCTGACTGCTTGACTGCCTGACCGGCTGAGTGGACGACTGCTTGGG